AAAGTCTATGAGTCTATAGTTACAAGCTGGGGACCAACCGGTTAAGTAGTAGTTCTGCAGAAAAGGACCTGGGGGTTACAGTGGATGAGAAGCTGGATATGAGTCAACAGTGGGCCCTGAGAAGCTGGATATGAGTCAACAGTGTGGCCTTGTAGCCAAGAAGGCTAATGGCATATTAGGTTGCATTAAGAGGAGCATTGCCAGAAGATCCAGAGATGTCATTATTCCTCTTTATTTGGCTCTGGTGAGGCCACATCTGGAGTATTGTGTCCAGTTCTGGACCCCCCCACACTATGAAAAGGATGTAGACGCATTGGAGAGGATCCAGCGGAGGGCAACCAAAATAATTAGGGGGCTGGAGCATATGACTTATGAGGAGTGGCTGAGGGACTTGGGTCTGTTTAGTCTGCAGAAGCGAGGAGTGAGGGGGGGGTTGATAGCAGCCTTCCACTTCTTGAAGGGAGGTTCCCGTGGAGTTTCCATCCCTAGAGGTGTTTAATTCTTGGCTTGACAAAGCCCTGGCCGGGTTGATTTAGTTGGAATTGGTCCTGCCTAGAGCAGGGGGCTGGACTTGATGACCTTCTGATGTCTCTTCCAGTTCTATGGTTCTATGATTGTTTGAAAGATAGCTGCAGGAGATGTAAGATAGGGTCCCCTGCCTAGAGCAGGGGGCTGGACTTGATGACCTTCTGATGTCTCTTCCAGTTCTATGGTTCTATGATTGTTTGAAAGATAGCTGCAGGAGATGTAAGATAGGGTCACTGGCACTGACTTGGAATCATGGTACTCTTTGCCTTCTTCAGCACCAATCACTTTAGCAGGGGGCTCAGCACAATCATCAGCGCTGACTCTGATGCTGCCATCACTGGTGCTGACTCACCACCTGGCACCAGCCATTAGACCTGGCACCACGCTGTTGATGGTGCAGAAAACAGTGGATCAGGACATTGCTCTGATGTCATACTTAAGCCGACACTGCTCCAATTTCTTGACCAAGGGGATGTAGTGGTATCATCTGTACCCCACTTTCCACTCTTTGGCACTGACCAGTCACTAGGGCAAGTCTCTGTACATCCCCTGATGTCACCCATGCTCTGAGCCCTCAGAGACCCTGATGCTGAAAACCACATGAGCAGATTTTCCTCCCAGCACTCCTCACCCACTCAGTCAATTTCCATGGCAGTTACACCATTTAAAGTCTTATCATGTATCTCGGGTTAAACTGTGGTATGGTCAACCATGGCATTAACCACCCCCTCCCTATCTCATGTAGTAGCCTCCATGGGACCCCCGGGTGAGCTATAGAGGGCATTATACAGCCCCATCGACCCCAGTGAAGAGAGCTTTAACATCTTTATTGTCAGCTCCGAGTGTTCCTCCTATAGAGATGCAAGAGATGCAGGACCATGATGACATCTTGGAGAGTCAACCACTGGACATCTCCCCCTCTGACAACTTCTACAGCACCCTCAGTTTCTGATCTCAAACAGTTTCAGGAGCTTTTTTAAAAGTGTCACCACAAAGCACCACTCCAGGAAGTCTGGAAGAAGCAGCACAAACTGCTCCAGATCCTATAATCCACTGTGGCATCCAAGAATGCCCTGCCAATAGATGCCCTGGCATTATGGATGCATCAGCTGAAATATGGCAAACACTGGCCTCCATAATAGCGACAAGCAAACATCCCGACAGGAAATACTTCATCCTAGCAAAGGACATGGACTTCCTCTTCTCCCACCCCCAACCTAATTCCTTAGTTGTCGATGCTGTCCACTGTCCAAATAAGTAGCCCCAGTATAAGTCAGCCCCACAGGACAAAGACCACAAGAGACTTGATTTTTTTGGCCTTAAGATATGTTCTTCACCCACACTCCAACTCAGAGTAGCTACCTACTCGGCCCTTTAGTTAATCATGACTTTTCAAACTATCCTAAGATGGAAGAATTGTTGGAACATCTCCCTGAGCAAAAATGTCCCATTCTGAAATCCATCATTCAAGAGGGACAAACAATAGCTTGCATGTCTCTCCAATCAGCACTTCACCTGGCAGACTTGGCTGTTCATGCCACTGCAGCAGCCATAGTTATTCCCCCCTGCCCCAGCCATAGTTATGCAACATGCTTCCTGGCTCCAGTCCTCCAGAATCCCCAATGAGCTGCAAATTAAACTATAAGACTTATAATTTGATAAAAATAAATTTTCTGCCAAAATAGATTAGGTTCTGTATACAATGAAGGACTCCCACACTACCCGCTATAGGCTTGGTATGTGCACAACCCCAGTCAAGTACAGATGTTGTACACCATACTAAAGGCCTAGAGACACCGTTTTAACCGTCAGCAATATTTGACACTATGATTCCAACAGATATAAGGCTAGAGCACTGGTTCTCTAAGTGCAGTCCATGGACCACTAGTGGTCTGTGGCTGCCTTGCAGGTGGGCCATAGCTGGAGGCTCAGCCCCCTTCTGGCAGTGGGGAGTCTGTGCTGGTTTTCACCCCCTCCCACATAAGCTTGGAGTACCAGCATAGGGCCTCCCACTGTGGGGAGGAAGTGCCCTAAGCCTCGTGGTATGGATCTGGCTCACAGGGGCTGCCATTCTGCTCCCCCAAAGTGGGGAAATGGCAGTGCAAAGAAGTCCTGCCTAGAGGCTTTTCCCGCTGCTTCCATTGGCCAGAATCACAGCCAGTGGGGGATAGGGGGGATGTGATCGGGGGAGCACAGAGCAAGGTAAACGCCTCCCAAGCCCTTATGCCCAGACCCCGCACCCCTATATCCATTATACACACCCCTGCTGAGACCCCGCACCCTGTTCCTGTACTTTCAGCCTGCTCCTGCACCCAACCTCCCACCCAACCCCCCCATCCTTAGCCTGCTCCTGGTCCCAATAGGACTGACAGCCACCATGGTCCCTGGGGCAAGGTGCGAGAAGTGGCTCTGCACCCCTGGAAGAGGTGAGGCCAAGGGCAGTCAGTCTTTAGCTACACCCAGACTGCGAAGCTGGGCCCCCCAATCCTCAAAGCTGTGCAGAGTGGCACTCTAGTGATCCCGCGATGGTTCAAAGGAGCTCTGATCCCCTTTGAATGGCTGTACCCTACTTCTCTCTTAGATCCCACAGCCCCCCTCTCCTGCACCCATTTTGTCATCACGGGTGGTTGGTTGGCAATTCACCAAAAGGTTTGTGTTGAATTTGAGAACCACTGGTACAGATGATGCTTACTTCTCAAGACTGGGAGGAGCACATGTGCAGTCCAATAGGCCCTGCTACCAAACATCTCTGATTCCAGGTGCAGGGGGCACTGCCACACCTACTGTGGAGTAACCAATAGGGTCACACATCCTGAAGTTACTGTACTGAAGAACCTGAGTTACTGTACAGAGTAACTCTGTCATGTAGTTACCAATCCATGTTGTGTCAAAATCTCTACTGAACTCATTTATTGCCATTTACAGGAGATTTCAGTATTCTGTAGATATAAAAAATGAAATTTATGCTAAATCTCTCTAGTAGTTTACATTCTATAAGAAATTAATAAATGCAGTTTCCAGTTGACACGTTTACTTATACAGAGTTTGTGCTTCCATTCGAGCGTCACAGTTTTACTCAGCATTTTCTACTGCTTCTTTTAAGCAATGTCAAAACTCCTCCATTATCAAAGAAAACCATTTAGCCAGGTTTTGTTCAGTGTTAATAGCACCATCATTCTTATTCTTTCTGCCTTCTGTATCAACAAGTAGTAGGAAAGATGGGACATCTCTCTTATCATCACTTTGGTCCTAGAGTTCAGGAACAACTAGCTGCTTTTTCTTCTTCCCTCCCTTGAGGGAACAAGTATGTATCCATATCTTTTCTTTGATTATAATTTTTTGTGAAAAGATGGTCCAAAATCTTTGGAAGATGATCCTGTAGCCATACTAGCAGAGGAATAGTAAGCTTTGGTAACTTGCTTACAATATTCTGTCTTCCTAATTTTGCTTTCATTTTTACTGTTGTTGGGATTCCGGCTCATGCTTATGCTGAACAACTCATAGATTTCTGATTGGTCTGTTATTTTTGTAACCATTCACTGTGCAGATCATGAACGACCCACAAGCTGCAAAGTATGCAAGTAAGCAAAGCTGCAGCTGCAAGCTCATCACATTTTACTCTTCTTAATATTTCTCCTTCTTACCATTTCTTTATCTACTACCTACATGTTATTTTCAAGATTGTGAGTTTGTTTTTATCAACTGTTAACCTTGGTTTCTTTATTTCTGTTCTCTTTCATTGTTCATGCAAGGTTCACAGCTGTTCCACTTGGAAACTGTTGACCGGACATCTTGTTCAAGTGAAGTTAAAACAATACTAAAAAAGTGCTGTGCAGTGTTGTCATTAATAGCAAGCAACTAATGATTAATGCTGCCAATTTGCACCCCCCATTACCAGCAACTGAAGGTCTGAAAAAAATTAATTGAACTTTAGCTGTGAAAGCTTAAGAAACTGGAACAAAATTTGTCAGCAGGGGGCATAAATTATCCTTTCATTCATTTCTTCTTAGTATTACCATGAAAACAATCAAAATGTCCCTTGTTTATATTTTTAATGGAGACCCTGCCCCCAGTAAGTAGAGCCCCAGCATGCATGTGCATGAATACACATAAAAAATATCACTACTTGTTACCCAGGTCGGGCACCATTCAATTCAGGACCAGTGACAGATAAGATTCAATATCTCATGATCCATCAAGGTTTGAAATGAGAGATATGTACAGTTGGAAAAGGAGGATTCCATCTTCCTGATTGCACACTCAGTACTTGCGTCTTTGTCCTCCTGAGCGATCTGATTTATTTTCAAGTTATAGAAAAACATTTTTATATATAATCAAGAGGTTTTAAAACTATTTTAGTTACAGTTCTCCTAAGCATTAGACCGCTGTAATGATGATCCTAAGGCACTTGGCTTTATAAATGGACAGATACACAAATATTGTGAATAAAATTGTTTCAATCATCACACTAGGTTGCTGGGGACACATAGGCACAAGGCAATGACTGGAACCACAGGACACTGGTGAAGACACACATGAACTCAAGATACCACACGCACTGCAGGTCATAGAATGCAGCACAGGTACACAGGTAAGCTATTCCATTTTCTCTCGATGCAATATCTTTATTCTTGACACAATGTCTGGGCTGGAAGTAATACAGACACTGGGCTGTCACTACGGTGGACAGCAACTGCTATAAGATGCACAAGTCTTACATTCCCCACTACTGCTGAGCAGATTAGTCACTTGACCTCCACCTTCCCACCACACAGGGAAAAGGTGCCAAGTCTTCTAATCAGAAGGCTCAAAATGGAGGGTAGATACCAACTTGTAAGAAACAAGATGTCCAAAGCAAAAATGTCCTTACAATAGTAGCTCATCCCATCTGCCAAAGCAGAACTACACAAAACCTGAACAGAAAGATTGGTGCACACACTCTTAGAAGCACTATAAAAATTGGCATGACTTCTTCAGCTGAATCCATTTTCATGTGTAGCATTCTCTAGTCTTTCTTTGGTGCTAGAGAAACGTTTGGAAGTCTTATGTAAAAGTATGTAATTTTGTTTTTGTCATCTCTTCATAGTGGAATGGGATCTGTCAGATATTGTAAGGTCCTCCAATACAGTCTCACTGGAGGCAGACAGTTGGTTATTATTTTCCCTCAGCAGCTCCTTGCATTTGGTACTGTGATGAATTTGGTCACATAAATCCCCTTGAGATGGTTACCTGGTGTGCTGAAAATAACCCTGAGCCTACCTACCTGCCTTTTGGGGCATCCCATCATCCTGTCTTACTGAGTTAGAACCTCTAGTTCCCCCAGCAATGTCATAGAGTTGGGGTAACGGCCCACAGCAGGCCATCACAGAAAGTGAGATCCACTCAGCTCAGGAAAGGCTCAACCAAAGGGACTTGATGCAGCACCCAGGTAGAGTGCCCTAGTGGGACCACCCGCCCCCCCAAAATCAGTCTCACCATGCATAAAGTTTATACATAGTGAGCTCATAAATTGATCACTCTCTGATCAATGAAAGAGCAATGCACATCTCTTGTTCCCCTAGGTAACAATTATTTACACTGGGTTTATTAATGAACAAAAGTGATTTTAATAAGTATAAAAATTAGGATTGTAAATGATTGCAAGTAAGCAAAATAAAACATGCCAGCTAAGCTTAATTAGAAACTTATGACATGCAATTTCTTATCCTACCAGTAATTCTAATCACGTTTTCTCACAGCCTATGCAGCCTCCAAGCTTGGGCATGATTCTTCCCCTGTACAATCTTAGATGTTTCCAGCAGTCATTTACGGGTGGTAACCATCAGCCCCTGTTTGGTTTCATGCCTTTATATAGAGTTGTGCCCAAGGCAGGAATCCTTTGTGTTCAGTTCAAACTTTTCTCATCTTGAATGAAAAATTATACTGTCCAAAGTGGCTTTCAGCATCAGGTGGTATAGTGACATAACTTTGTAGGACCAATCATAGTCCAGGCTCACACAAGATGCAAGACTATTCACAGGACCTTGTCTCACACACTAGGCCATTAAGTTCCTTAAGTACCATTAGTGACCCTCACTTAGCAGGTCCAGATTAGTAAACAGATCTATGCTTCATATTTCTCACTTCAAATACAGGAATGATACATGCACACAAATAGAATATGCACATTTAGCAAATTATAATATTTTAAATATCAACATCAATCATCATCAACAACCATGGGCTCAACACCCGTTCGCCAGTCCAAGTATATCATATCGGTATCTCTCCATCTCCTTTTGAAGCAGCTCTAACTTTCCCATTGCCCACAGTGTTTGGACATTCTACATTCCAATTGATAGTATATGTGTTGGTTGTAGTTTCCTTTTGGTAGCCAACTTATTGATCCAATCACAATTGCTCGATTGGTATCACAGACCTTGTTTATCCGGGGGACGTCCGAGCCGGCATCTTTTATCAATTAATTGTACTGGCATCAGATTTAATTCGTATTGTTGTTTTACGATCAGCGCATCGACACTCATCTGACCAACCCTCCTCCGTTATCCAGGCTTGGGATGGGCATGAAACCCTTAGAGGCTTCATGGCGGAGTTATTTTAAATATGACACATGAAATATTTGGCATAAGGGATATTCAAGTGAAGCATATTCAAATGCATATTTCAATAAAGAATATGGGGGTGTGTGGACGAGTTCTGGGGTGCGATTCAGCGAACCCCGTCGTCCAACTCTGTGGCACTGGTCCGCTGGGTCTGGGCCCAGGCCAGAGCTGTTGTGTGCAATCACCCCTCTACAATGAGTCCAGGGGATCTGCGAACCCAGTAGCCGTCCCCCTCAATAGGGGCCTTTCTGTTAGGTCTAATGGAATGGTCCTTACTCACGGGGCCAAGGTGGCACCGACTCCCCAGGCGGTGTGGGGCAGGAAGGGGACCCAGGCCCACCCTCTCCTCCAAGTCCCAGCCCAGGTTCCCGAAACACATCTGTCCATGGACGCCAGAAGTGCCCCGCCCCGGGCTGCTTCCTCCCCTCCGTGTGTCCCCGTGCTCCCTTTGGGAGGTCTCCAGAGTCTACTGTGGTTCGGGAGTCCGGTGTCATGGGCGTCTCCACTCAGCATCTGTTCCTGGATTCGGTGGCAGGAGGTGTCCAGGGGAATCCTAGGTCTCCGCGGGGTTGCGCCCAGCCGCCGGCCACCCTTAGGGGCGGCACCGATCAGACTCCAGCCCAGGGCTCCTCTGTGGCTGGCCCTGGAGGCTGCCCCCCTCCTCTCTGCCGGCGGGCCCTTTTGAAATGGCCCACTGGTCGTGACGTCCCGTTGGGGCCCCCCCCCTCTCCAGACGTGGTGGGCTCCCCCCCCCCATCGATCATCCCGTCCTCCTCCCGGGGGCACACGTAGGGGGCTGGGCCAACTGCCGCTTGGCTGCGCAGACGTGGGGGAAGGCCCTGCCGCCGCCGCCGCCTGCTCCCAGTTGGACCGCTACGTCTGGGAACCTCTGCCGGGGCCGCGGCTTCCTCCAGCCCCTCTCTGCCGACTAAAGTGCGGGTCACTTACGACCCGTCACAGGGTACAACATCACAGTTATATCTGTTTTGTCATTTTTTTCAAGATGGCTGCTGTGGCAGGGTGGTTTTGGAATTTAGAGAGGTTCACATGCTCTGGTATAATCAGGATCTTTTGTGACACTCAAGCAATGCAAAGGAGTTAGATTCTGACTGTACTCACTATATTGTAGTACGTTCTATGCAGGTTCTTACACTATATCCATCATGGTGATCAGTGAGCACCTTCTGGAAGTTCACTGAATAATGTGACTAGCATATGTTCCAAGGTTTTTTCTGTCTCCCTTTCTTCCTTTCTTTGCCCCAGGGAGAAAAGTGCATAGTCACCTTTTAAAATGTAAATATATATGTTTGGCTTTTTATTTTTATTAAGCAATATTAGGTCAAATACTTGTGTCTTGCACTTAGAATGAAAAATGATAGATTTGTAGTAGTTCTTAGATGCTGTAGGAGTTCATTGTATTGTATTGTACCAGCTTCTGTGGTTGCTTACGGAGTACATACTATGGGTTTAAGAACAATTTCTAGGCTGCCCTAACTCATATATGGGCCAGGATTAATCTGGTACAGCCTACAGAATAAGGAGACTATACTTGCGTCTTGAGGAGATCAGGAACAATGGAATATCTGTCTATAGTTTTAAAACCTGTGTCAGATATAGAGGCAACTATTTTTTTTGTTCCATTTCAGTGTTAAAGAATTCCTGTGACACTTTGCGTATGGCAGATGGCTGGTGTTTGAATTCCAGAGGAGATCACAAAAATGTTGCCTTGATTAAAAACCGATTTCATTATTTCCTCAAACAGTTCTAGGATGTGAATTATAATCTCTGTTACACTATTATGATGAAGCCAAGAACCTTCTAACAAATAGTGAAATCCTGTTTACTGAGGCATCTGCTGGAAAAAAAAGTTTCACCAGGTCACAACATCTTGAATAAGCTGTAGAACAGTCCAGATTAATTCCTTTTGGTATACTGTGCAGTTTGGAGATAGCAGAAGAGGGGTGCTTGAAACGTAGGACCTCCCAAGTGCCGTGCCACTCCACCACTCCAAACATTTGGCTTTGGAATCACCTACAAGGAATAGTCATGAGCAAACACTTAAAGAAGAAAAAGCCGTTGCTTACCTTCATAACTGTTGTTCTTCGAGGTGTGTTGCTCATGTCCATTCCAAATTTCACCCACCTCCCCTTTGTCAGATTTCTGGCAAGAAGGAACTGAAGGGGTGGCAGGCAAGCAGGGGTGTATATGCATGCATATGTAGGTGCCATGCTAGGGGGCTTTCCTGCCGGCCCAATGGGTAACGCTGAGGGAAAAACCTTCTGACAATCTGTAGCGGGGTCCGTCTGTCCAGCCTTACGGCTCCCCCCCCCTTTCTTAGTCTCTCCCGACAAGTTCCCGGTTCCCTGTCGCCGTCCCCCGGTCGTCGGTCGTGCCGCCGGCCTCCATGGGCTCCTTGGCTCCTTAGCAGTCCCTCCCGAACGCCTCCGCCCGCCCCCCCCACGCTCCCCGCCAGTATCCGCGGCTTCGTCCTGGAGGGTCGTTGCTTGTGGGTCCTTCCGTCCTCCGAGCGCCCTGTCTCCACCTGCAGGGTTTGAGAGCACCGCCAGGTCCTGCTCTCTCCCCCCCCTCCTGGTTCCCACATTCGCCCTTTTGGGCTTCCCGGGCGGCGTCCCGCCCTCCTCCACCCCCTGCGCCAGGGAGCACCTCCTGGGCCCTAGTGCCCTCCCACCTGGTCTCCTGACTGCCTGCGGCTGTGCCGGCAGTCAGCTTCTGGCTGTCCGCGGCGG